ATTTTAGGTATATCAGACAAAAACAGGACACATAAATTGTCATTATATGCTGATGATGTTATATTGTACATTAGAGATCCTGTAACCTCTATACCGAACATTTTAAAATGCTTGAAAGACTATAGTCTCGTCTCAGGATATCAAGTAAATCATTCAAAATCGGAGGCCATGATGATAAGAGGGATCTGGCCCTCAGAATTATCCAAAATAGTTAATTTCAACTGGTCACCGGAGGGATTTAAATATTTGGGGATCAATATTACTACAGATACTTCCAAATTATATAGAGTAAACTATGGGAGACTATTGGATCAAATCCAAAAGGACCTAGAAAAATGGGAAATCCTACCGCTATCCTTTTTTGGAAGGATGGAAACGGTCAAAATGAATGTTCTCCCGAGAGTGCTGTATTTGTTTAGGTCCCTTCCTGTTTGGATTCCAACAACAAAGTAAAAAAAAATGCAAAAAATGATTTCTACCTTTATTTGGCAAAAAAGAAAAGCCAGAATAAAATTGACGCAGCTGACCAGCGGCAAACCTTACGGAGGTCTTAATCTGCCAAATTTACAACTATATTATTGGGCATCACAAATGTGCGCAACTGTGGACTGGCTAATACAGAACAAAGAAACAACTTGGTTGACACTGGAACAAAGCTCATGTCCTAAGTTTTCTTTACAGGCCCTTGCATTTTGCTCAACTGAAACCTGGAATAAGTACAAGATCACAAATACGTGGATGAAAAGTGCTCAAAAGACTTTAATCACAATTAGAAAAAAGATGAAGGCTCCTCAATCTATATCCAGAGCTTTAAAAATTGTAGATATAATAGACTTCTTACCAGGACAACTTGATTCAAGATTTCGAATGTGGCAAGATAAGAATTTAATTTTTATTGATGACCTATTTGAAGGGGAGATCCTGAAATCATTCGGTCAAATTCAGGAGAAATATGGATTGAATCCATCCGACTTTTACAGATATTTACAGCTGAGAAGTTACCTGATGTCACATGCTGAATGGTCTCTTCTTAAATCACGTCCCACTGAGTTAGAAATGTTCTTTATAAAAGTCACTAAAGAAAAAAAATCTGACAAAACCATATCAAATCTATATAAATGTCTACAGTCATGCATGTCGGGGGGACCTCCTGGGATAAAGGAAAAATGGGAACTAGAAATGAACGTCGTGATTGATGATCAAGAATGGGAGCGGATGTGTGAAAATGGACATAAACTGACTAACAGTCCGATTTGGAAAGAATTTAATTGGAAGGTAATTGTTAGATACTTCAAAACACCATATATTCTTTCAAAATTTGATAAAGCTAAATCAAATCTGTGCTGGAGACAATGCGGACTAATTGGAGATCACACTCATATTTTTTGGGACTGTCCGAAGATTAGAAAATACTGGGTAGGAATTAGTGAGGAAATTTCGAATATTCTACACACTTATATTGAATGGAATCCTCTTGTCTTTGTTCTGGGAATAATCCCAAGTGAAGTGTTGAGTAAAGAAAAAAGATACCTATTTGGAATTCTCGTACTGGTAGCAAAAAAAATGATAACAGTATGTTGGTGTAAGGCTTTGCCCCCCACTGTAAGTCAATGGAAAGAGAGAATGGTGAATGTCTATACAATGGAGAAAATAACAGCAAGTTTAAACATGTCCATGGAGTTGTTTAAGAAAAGGTGGAATCCGTTAATAACATATTTGAAATTGACATAAAAACAGATAGCATCTATGTAAATAACCTGATCGACCCAGTGTAAATGTTTAGCAAATATCTATGTTAGGATAAGGACAAAAGCAATGTGAGGAACACTATGTGTAACATGTTACCTGAACTTCACCAAGTAGTGGAACAGAGACTATCTGGAATTTCAGCTTGCCGAACTGTTCGATTGTTCATGGTTAACCGATTTGTTTGACTTGTACCGGAAATTGATGTTTGTCATCTTTTGTAACAAATACTGGATCTGAAAGCAGAACTAAATAAAATAAACATCTTGTTCAAAAAAATAAATAAAAAAATAAAAATGATCATTGTGTGTGTGTTTATGGTGGTGAGGGGAGAAGACCAGTTCTGCTAATGTGGAGAGACACACCAGCATTATGTCTGGCATCAGGTGGTGCCTTGTGTTGGCTCAGGGGACAGCACAGCGCTACGTCAGCGACAACATCCCCGTACAGTTCGTCAACAAGACAACACTCATCCACACAAGGCAGGAGTGTTCATGTACTGCCTGCACCCTGTCGAGGTCCTCTCATGGTCAGCAGGTCCTGGTGTTTCAACAAAACATGTAGATCAGCTCTAACACAAACTCCAATCCAGTGCTAAGCCGCCTCAAGAACCAGCTATAACCCAATTTGATGATTTTTAGATGGAGCTACCAAAGAAAAGATGCAACAGAGAGTTTGTTTCATTTTACATTCAGTGCATTTCCTGGAACTAATGTAACAAGGAAATTCAAAGGGTAAAAGCAGTTCAGAGGTAAAAGAAAGCACAAATAAGAGTCCATGTTTGCTCAAAGTTATTCCAGTTTTTTTACTGAAGTTTGCTGGCTTTAAAACACGCTGCTCACTGGTTTCCAAACAACATTCTCCTGAATTAGTGTCATATTAGCCATAACAAATTGAACCAAGAAGGCCAAACCAAATACTTTTTATTTTACAAAACTTGGACTGGTCCTCCTTTCCTCAATGGTTCTGAGAAAACCGGGTTACAGTGCTTTCCTGGAAATCCAACAAGTCAGGAACAGACCCTAGTTTCATCAGGTTTCTAAGAGTAAGGACATCCATCCAGCATCCTCGATCTGAGCATGCAACCATTTCACAACTTACAAGACAAAAAAGGGAATCTGGAGCAATTTAGAAAAAGGCGTTTGAACTGAACAATAGTTTAAAACCATAAATACAAACGCTCGGCATAAAAAAATTAGAGCTTGGACCACAAATCAGGAATAATCCATTTTTGATATAATCTTCTTCTTTCAGCTGCTCCCTTCTTCAGGGGTCGCCACAGCAAACTAAGTCACATGAAGACATGCAAATTGTTTTTACGCCAGATGCCCTTCCTGACGCAACCACAGACCACCGAGCTACCACAGTGGAGCAGAGCTGCCATTCAGGGTGCCCAAGGGAGCAGACAGTGGGGGTTAAGGGCCTTGCTCAAGGGCCCAGAGTGGGGCAAATGAGGGTGGAGACAGGTGTGGGTGTTTCACCTTTTCCACCCACATTTTGATGTTGTCAGTCAGGGGAGTCGAATCGGTGACCTTTCGATCACAGGTCCACCTTCTCTAACCTCTGCACCACCACTCCCCCTGATATCTTACTGCTGACAGAAAAAAAATGTTTGCTACACTCATCTGCAGGCCAGAGGTCACTCTGTCAGGGATGAAGATGTTCACATCCTTGATAGAGAGGAATTCTGGTTTGAGAGAGGAGTGAAGGAAGCCATTTTTGTGAAGAGAACCCGTCCATCGTTAAACAGAGACAGAGCTCTCCATGTTCAACTGTCCCCCTCTAACAATGTTATTCTCCCTCAAGCAGCCATCAGGGCACTTACAATCAATCGTTAGGTTGATGGTCCTCCTTTTACATGTGAACAACTAGTTTAGGCTGTGACCAGAATACTGGTTGGTCCACTATGAGAAGGTGCTGCTTATAAGACTGAGTTTGTTGCGGCACCTCAGACAAGAAGTCTTTTGGATAAAAGACGAAACGTTTCAAACAGAAGACCTGATTCCTCCTTGTAAGATTTATCTACCTGGACCATTGAGCATGCATCAGGACAAATCTCAATAATTATTTTTAAGGAAGTTTTTAGTTATTTATGATTGTTCAAACAGACAGCAGCATGATTAGTTTTGGAAGAGAGTTAATAAAAATAAAATAAACAACTGATTAAAAATTTAAAACTAAAACGACAGGACTGGTCGTGATTATAGGAGGAAGAAAGATGAGCTGATAAAAAACTGGGCTTGCTGCTGGGCTCAGCAAACTAATGAACAAAGTTATAAATCCAAATATATTCTTTCAACTTTATGTGCAGTTTTATTTTGTCTGGCTGAAGTTCTGTCTGCATGCAGTACTTATGTTGACAAAACCAAAGATGTTTCTATTATTAGTTACTGTCTACATAAGGAGTGCCCATTACAACTGACCAGTACATTGTGGACTGGTCTCTGGTCAATCGCAAGATCTTTATAAAACAACAAAAAAAAACCCCAAAAAAAACATTTTATTTAATGTTTGGCCTTTTTTATGTCTGCATTCTCTCTACCTACCGTACTGGATGCATTTAAACCATCCTTAAAAGCAGCAACAAAGAAAGGAAAATAAACATCAAAGTTTGTGCTCAATAATCCAGATAGAAAAATCCAACAAAGTTAAGTCAGGTCCTCTGGACGGTTTCTTTTTGTTGAAACGTTTTGTCTTTCATCCAAAGGACTTCATCCTGGCAGGGACCAATGCAGACATGTTCCTGTTTTTAGTTTTCTACATTTGCCTTAGAATCTAGCTGTTTTTTGTTACTTTTCTTTTTTTAGCCATCCTATTTGTTTAAAAATAAAAATAAAAATCTGTATGACTTTTTATAATTGTTTATTGTTGTCGCTGTTGTGCATTGTTGTCATCATTCTTTGTTGAAATCAGGTCTCTCTTGTAAATGAGTCATCAAGGCTCAATGGGATTTACCTGTCTAAATAAAGGTTTAATGAATGAACGACTTCATCAGTCCGAGGAGCCACAACAAACTCAGTCCCACAAGCAGCACACTCACATAGTGGACCAACCAGTTTGATGGTGACAAGAAGGTTTCTGGAGTCCACCCTCTCCCCTGTCGACTCCTCTGAGGCAGCCATGGCCAAAGTGGTTAAACAATCAAAACAAACCAAGTTTGTTGAGGCTCCAAAGGATGAAGGACAAAATGTTTAAACCCCCTCACTCTTGAACCCCACCCTTTCACCACTCAGTTGGTTTCTGTGACACCCTTTCTACCTGTGTTTGGGTCTCCAGGTGGCGCTTCCCTCATCGATGTCACTAGAAGTGTCCTCCACAAGTTCCTCGTCCCTGCCTACAACTCTTCCGCCCACTGATAAGCTCCCAATCAGAGACGTCGCCTGTGTGTCAGATGGAGTGCTGATGACGCCCGTGTCCTCGCCCTCTGCCATCTTGTCAGGTGGTGCGTAACCCCGGTCCGGCAGGCTGCAGCTGTCAACTTCGGCTGCAGCAGGTTCTTGTTTCTGGACGCTGGAGGACGAACTCTTCCCTGAATGGAGCCAAGCTAGGAGAGGACAGGAGAACATCTTGGTATCAGTTTAAGTATTATCACACAAGATGAGTTGAGAACCACAAGTATGTGAAAGAAGCACAGGATGCAGAGTGAAAATTAGGAAAGAGAAGAAAAAGTAAACAAAAGACGTATTTACGTTAGTTTCAACATTTTTCTGTTGACGCACACAAACGTGCAAAGACCAAAAACACCAAACGAGCTGACAGCAAACCCACTTGGGCATGCTAAAATATTTTTATGATGTGCAGATCAACTTACTGTAAACAAACACTTGTAATTACATTTTTAACGTAGTGTTTTAGGTTCAAAAGGAGGCTGGTGTCGCCTCAAACCTCTCATCTCTTCACTGCGAGCTGCTCACGCCTGTGGCTTTGACAGGAACTTATTTAAAGTGTCACTGAGCTCATTGAACTCTAGGTCGAGGGCATAAAAATCAGAGTAGTTTGTTTGGTTTTCTGCAGGCTGGCCAGCATGCGCCTTGTTTTTAAGTATCAGATGTAGGTGAAAACGAGCAAGGGTCTGGACAAGCACCGTGCATCCTGCTGGATGTGTGTGGTCAGATTCGTCCTAATGGTGCAGTCAGTTCCAAGAGATGTGGTGATGATGTGGTGATGACTCACAGGGCGGTCCTCCCAGCTCCTTCCCAGCAGCTGCTGAATCATGCCAGTTACAGCCACGGCTGTTGCACAGAAAAATGCAAAGAGGTGCACGAGCACCCACACAAACTTCACCGCCTTCTCCAATGTGCTTTGAAAAAAACACAAACTTCTGATAAATGTAAACAGTTTAGTGATTTGCTTCTTGACATTAACTGACCATCCAGGGTAAAACTTCTGCTGAAAGCTTGTCTCAAAAAATAAAGAAATCCTGCACTGTCACATTTCCACCGACATGCTGCATCAAAGGCTCTGAAGCTGCAGATTCCCAATATGTACATAACGTTAAATAGCTTTGCTGTCAATGTAATAAGATCAAAGTATGGGTTTTTTTTCTGCTCAACTTCCAAATATTCTGCAGTATTTCGATATTTGCATTCACACAGAATAAAAAAAAAATCATGTTTGATGAAAAAGGCTTAAATAACTTTACTAAATGCCCACATACACGCATCAAAATGTTACTTTCAAAACATGCAATTTACCTCATATGGTGTTCAAACTGTAAACAGATGTTCAAAATACAAGATTTTTGGCACTTTTCATCGCTCGTTTAAAGTTTGGAATCTTACCAAGCTTTATAAATTCATCTACAAGGCTAAAACACACATATATGTATAGTGTTCTATTTCGTATAGGCTTCGCCCTTTAAGGCTGTCGCTGGTGGGTTTTATCCCGTCACGCAAAGCGTCGCACTGAAAAATTTAGTCCACACCCACCTGTTGTGTGGGCCCCACCCGGTCCGTATAAGTTCCGTTGAGAGCGGGTAATCGGCTCCCATTTTTCTTCAGCAAGCAATTAGCACTGATCTTCCAACAGCGCGATGTCCAGCACCAACACCATCCACCTGTGCCCGTCCTGCAAGACCGGCTACATGCTGTGCTTTGACTGGCACCTGCGAAGGATGCCTGGGTCCCCGCCACGCCGACCTCGCCTCCTCCTGCCGCCTCTGTGACCTCCTCCCCCTTGAGAGGCAGAGGCGAGTAGCCTTGTTTAAGGCTAACATCGAGGAGTGCCTCTCTGTGGCGGGGGACTGTTTGCTGGACGACGCCATCGACTTTTTTGACGCCGGGTCTCGGAGCGAATCAGACGGTTCCTCCGGGACACACGACATCAGCAGCAGCCCCGCTGCTCATTCCCTCCCGAAGAGCGTAGTGTTGGAACGGGAGTGGCCAAGCGGATGCTCACCCCTCCTGGGCCTTTCCGCATCAGCGACCACACCGTTCCCAGCCGTCGGTGCCCTCCTCTCAGAGCTACCCGGCATAATCCAGGAGGCGGCTGACACGAAGGGACTTTCCGTCCCTCTCCTCTCCCCGCCCAGATCGGATGATCTAGTGGGAAGGTTTGGCTCCATCCCGGTTCGCCGCCCTGACCCCATCTGGCCTCGTTTCCCAGCAGTGACGTCCTACTGGAACGAGGCTGCAGCTGGACCTGGTAAATTGAGAGCACCCGTCTCCACCTTTGCGCCCATCACCAGAGTGGAGGGGTTTACTGAGTGGAATTTTCCCTCGGTACCTCCCCTGGAGCCAAGCCTGGCGGAAGCTCTTGGAGCAAAAGTGTCCAGGTTGGACCAGCGTCCAGTTCCTCAGGGAAAGCACAACCAGACAGTGATGTCACTCTCCAACTGAGCACACCAGTGTGCATTCCAGGCGGCCGCAGCAAACAACAATGTCGTACAGGCATACAGCATCTCAAAGAGGATGGAGGAAACAGACCTGCCTGAAGAGATAAAGAGCTTACTCTGCAAGGCATCTGACGTCATCCTCAACCTGTGTGCCTCCTCTGCTGTCTCCCTGTCTTGCATCGCCGCCCGGATGACAATGATCCAGAGGTCCACCTGGCTTCGACACACACCCTCCCTGCCAGAGAAACTGCAGAAGGACCTGCTGGAGGGCCCCATCACGACGGACGCGCTGTTCGGAGCCAATTTCAAGGCCATGCTGGAAAAATCGAAGAAGTCGGAGGAGGTGTCGAAGACTGTGAACCACCTGATGAAGTCGCACTCCTCCTCCCCCCCACCCCCGCCCGCTGGAAGGATTATCGCGGCCAGAGGCAGCAGCAGAGATGCTCCACAGCTGCAGCAGCATCCTCATGCCTCGCTCCGCCGCCAGCCCCTCCCGCCAGAGAACAGTCCTTCTCATCCTGGCAACCAGCGTTTCAACAGGCGCCGCCCTGGAACAACCAGCTGCAGGGCTCACGGGGGAGAAGATTTAAGAAATGACTCCTTGCGGAGGATGTGTGTGTATGCAATGATGACACAAGTTTTGAAATAAAATGAAAACATCATTCAGAGAATAAAGTGTCTGATTTTAGCCTGACTGTCAGTTCGAATGATCTCATAGCGGCTTCTCTTCACACATCCAGTGCCAGAGCCAGTGCCCTCAAAACAGGTTTTTAAAAGTCAACGCAGCTTGAGAAAACACACAGAATGCTCACTTGACAGCAGCAAAAAATGAATGTTTTCAGCAGACCGAGCCCAGGAGAAAACCTCGCTCTCAGACCAGGGTGTTTTCTGCCCCTTCTGACCGCAGCGGAGACAAACGCGTTTCCTCACGGCAGCTGCAGCCTCCACCCAAACGACGCCACACTGCTGAAGGTGCGCACGCCTCTTTTCGGCGCACGTGAGTTCACATCAACCCTGATGCGAGCCCACAGCCTAAGCGCAGCGCGAAAGCGCCTCCAGGGCCCTTTCGAAAAGGCCTCGCCTTGGGTCGCTCGGAGTACGTCTCTGCAGCACATGACGGCGGTGGAGGCCCTGACTTGGCAGGCGTCCATAAAAGACATGACACAACACAAAAACGCGTGCCCACTCCCAGAGCGTTACGCAGAGTGGCAGCGAGCATGCTCCCTGAACAGCTGGATGAACAGTCTTATCAGCTAGGGTTACACGCTGCAGTTCACAGCTCAACCCCACCGTTCAGAGGGATTATAGAGATGGTTCTGTCATCTTCAGAACAGATCTCATCCCTTCATGCAGAAGTTCAGGAACTACTGGTAAAAATATAATTTCCAGGGTTCCCAATGGAGAGGAAAACACGGGGTTTTACTCACGTTACTTCCTGGTTCCGAAACGGACCGGAGGGATGAGACCCATCTTAGATTTATCCATTTTCAACAAGTCGATCATGGAGAGACAGTTTCACATGTTGACAACCAGACAGCTGTTGAACAACATTCACAACTGGTTTACCTCCATCGATCTCAAAGATGCTCATTTTCACATTCCATTCATTCCAAAGCACAGAAAGTTCCTGCGCTTCTCCTTCCAAGGGACCCAGTACAAATACAACAGGCTTCCGTTCGGTTACTCCCTTGTACCACGCACGTTTTCAAAATGCGTGGAGACGGCCCTGCAGCCGCTACACAGACCAGGGATGAGAATACTTTTTTACCTAGACGATCTGCTGTTGCTGACCCGATCCAGGCAGGAAGTAGCTGCGCTAACCAAAGCGCTGACATCACACCTGTTAAATCTCAGCTTTGCCACAAACTGGGAGAAGAGCTCAATTCTCCTGGCCCAGATGATTGTTTATTTGGGAGTGGAGCTAAACTCTGTCACTATGAGGGCCCGTGTATCACAAACGAGAGCCGAAACTCTAAAAGACCAGCTCCGCCACGTAAAGCCCGGCAGAGTAGTGACAGCTGTCTCCGTCATGAAACTGTTAGGAACAATGTCGTCAGCTCACGCGGTGGTCCCGCTGGGCTTACTTCACATGAGACGTCTCCAGAGGTGGTTCGCTCGTCTGCGCATAGATCCAGTAAGGCAGAAGAGGCGGATGATTTCTGTGCCCCCCTACGTGGGAACCGACCTGAAACATTGGGGAAATCCTCTCACACTGTCGGGGGGAGTCCCTTTCAGCAGACCTACATCACACGTCTCAGTTTTCACAGACGCGTCCCTGTCAAGTTGGGGAGGAACGCGCCTATCACGGGCAGTGGGGGCGCTGTGGCCAGCTCACACATCAGCTCACATAAATATTTTGGAATGTCGCACGATTTTGAATGTGATTCAACTTTTTGCTCCTACGTTGCAGAATCAGCACGTTCTGATTCACACAGACAACAAAGTAAACGCTGCTTACATAAACCGGCAGGGGGCGTGCGCTCAGCCCAAATGTTACACATTGCGAGACAGCTGCTGTGTTGGGCACACAAAAACCTGCTCTTCCTCAAAGCAGTGTACATCCCCAGCGTCCTGAACAGAGGAGCGGACATAATGTCCAGGGGCAGTCTGCGCCACGGGGATTGGAGTTTCCATCCCGAGCTGATTTCTCAGATTTGGGAGAAATTTGGCAGAGCAGAAGTGGACCTATTTGTCACACAGGAAAACGCCCA